TCTAATTAAGCCCCTCCCTGCTATCACGGTTTTGAAATTTTCTGCTTGTTGGTCTTTTATTCAGTGAGTTATCGCACTTTTAGTGATTTTCAACATAACCGTTATATGAAGAGTGGGCGTGGTTACTATCTAATTTTACCATTTTCACAGTGTATAAAGAAATGCCGAAAGGACGTCTTATCTGCAAGTTTTGATGAATTATGTTGTTTCAATAGTTTAGAATATATAATATAAATATTTAACCGTTTAGAGAGCGGGGTCCGTTATTAAAAAAACATACCGGCTCAAATTAATTAAAATAATCACATATTGGCCGATATATACGGTATAGGGTCAGCCGGATATATTTTCATTAGTGCTTGATTGTATACCAAAAATTCAAAAAATCAGATGCAATTTAAATTTGTGTTTTTTATAAGAATTTCACGTTTTCAAATCTAAAATCTCCAAAAAGGAATTTATAGCTTATTTAAAAAAAATAAATACATATTATATTATATATATTTATTCTACTATTATTTTCAAACTTTGTTTAAAATCTTTTCCAATATCATAGTTATTTCACGTGACTTTCTATTACATTTACCTCGTTCCTTCTGAACCGCCAATTTGAGCAATACATCAGCAGTTTTCACTTAAATTTCCACACCACGCCCAATTGACTTTCCACTTAACCAAGCAACGCCTTATAAGAGCGCAAGTCTTTAAGTACATTACTATTTGCACAAGTGTGTATAAAAATGTAGTCATTTTCTTTTGCTGACGGTAAAAAAATGTACATACATACGTACTTATATTTATAAAATTTGCTATGTAATCATATTTATTTATGTACTTCATAGTTAGCGAAGAGAGAATTTCTTAAAAACGCATGTAAACATGCCACTCATGCTATTGAAAAAGAAAAGCAGCTCTGTGCATGAACACGAGTGTATATGTATACATATATAAAGACATATATACTCGTATATGTACATATGTATAGGTCTACTTTTATATCCGCAATCATTTATTTATAACCAAAATTTCTTTACGCCGCTCTCTGTATAAACAGCAATTGGTTACGATACCAATGTACTGACCAGCAGAGTTGTTACTTAGCATTTCATACTTTTATGTATATATAATTTTTATATACTTATAACTTTTGTTTTGAGGGGGAACCGGTAGCTTATTAGATTTCAAAAATAGGAGAGAGCTTAAAGAAGAGGCCAAGTCGGTTGCATAACAAATTAATTACGAAAGATGCTGCAATATAAATATAACTTTCGAACAACTGAACCGATTTTATATAATAAGCATGGAAAATAGCAATATCGGTAGTAGATTCGATTCCAGGCTTTGGAAGGAAAATCAAGCAATGAACTCAAAGTGCGGTTTTTGAAAAATTTACCTTTTCTCTGCTACAGTATCTCCCGGATAGCTGGTTCTCTCACATGGATCCGGAAACCCCAGAATACCTGCTAGTGGACACAGCAGTCTGCAGACGCAGAATTAAGGCCCTGGGATCTATGTTTCCAAACAGGGATCGCATAGTAAAACATTTAAAAATCGTTGTTTACATTTTTTAAAACTTAATTGTAGAGGACTGTAATTTTTTTTCAATTTTGTGCAATATACGCGAAATAACATGCGATTGTGTGTGTACAATTGATGGTATGTTTTTTCACTAACACATACACCCGGATCGAAGCAGTTATAGCCGCCAAGGGTGAGTCAACTAGTTATTAGAACTTTTAGTAGAATAGTTATAGATTAACCTTATTGAAAAAATACAATATATTATTAAACATATCGGTATCATTTCACAGAAAAATTATACTTTTTGTTTTGTTGCGAATGCAATATAATATTATTCTCCATTTTATACGTTTGAAAATTTTCACCAAAATTTAATTAGTTAAGCCGCGATAATTGAAGAATAATTGCAAAATGTAAATTCGTAAGGTTCACTTGGCCACTGGTGTATATTTAACCAATTTTACGAGGAAACCTATTAACCGGGTTCAATTAAGCGGAAAAATGTACACGTGTTTTGTATGCAATATAATTTTGACCGATCAGGTGATGTAAATAAGTGGAAAATCAATTTACCGGGTTTAATTAAGCAGGAAACACTGTATCATACCTAAGTATCCCATGCTTCGGCAATAAAGGGTTTTAGTACAATAACTTGTATATCGCAATGTTTAAGTGCGATCGGGTGCGCTCTATATGGCGTTAGAAATTTTTATGAGATTTCTTACTAAAAAAGTTGTCAGACAAAATACTTCATATTTTACAGTTTTTCTGGCGATAAAGGCGAAAACGTAAATCAGGCGACTGAAAATGTGAGTAGTACTTAAGGTCCTAGTGCTGCAACCGCAATCATGCGGAATTTTTGTTTCATCGATTCCTCAACAATAAATTTGCTGCAAAGGTGCATCAGGCTCTGGAGGGACAGTTGTCGAAAATATCGATAAAATAATGGAAATCGTGTAGTTCGACCATCATGTGAAAGAAGCTTGAGCCAAACACGTTAAGCAAAAAAACCTTATGGACCAATTTCATCTTACTATGAAATCATAACAAAACAGATCCATTTTTGATGCAGGTGATTACTCGTGATGAGAAATAGGTCATTAACGACAATGTCAAGTTTAAACGGTCGCGTTCCAAATATGTTCGATTATTATGCATCCAACTTTTATTCCGGATCCGGTACCAAGTGATCATACTACCCGTTGTTGCCTATGACGGCGAAAACCCGCCTCAAGAGAAGACTACAAAATGACTGTCCCAGTTTTTTGCCAATAGGGATGACGATTTCTATGAGAGTTTCATTATGTAATTACCTGTCAAACATTTATCGATTAAAACGTTGCATATTTCAACTAAATCGGATCATTCTAACTCTGATAAAATGTTCAATTTAATGGATAATTGAGGTTCGGAAAAAGGTTCCTATACGACGACTTTAGCTTTTTTCAGTAATTCTTTTCAGTCTGCACCTACTCGACATTATTGAATTAAGATTATATTCTTCAGTTCGGTAACTATTACGTAACTAAACTGAATTGACTCTAATACAACCTTAGAGACAATTTTTTCACTTTTTCAAGGCTACGTAATTAAATTTTACGTACATAGTAATTTTCTAATGACAACCTTGCTGCTCATAAGTTATGTAAAGGCTAACGTTTCTTCGAGTAAACTATATTTGCTCTACATCTTATATTGTACGCTTGTTTGCCCTTCATGTCCAGTTTATAAATAGCTAAGTAAATTTCTCTGAAATGTATGCTTTCATTACATATTTTTAAGCAACCACTAGTTTTACTGTTATTATTTTCTTTGCCAGTGTTCTTTTTTCCTTGTTAGTGAACAGTTTTTTTCATATCCTCGTTCGCTTTCGGCTACTTTTGTTATTAAGATTTAACCAAATTTGTGTGTCGTACGCCGTTATTAAGCGGGCTCAACTAGTTTTTGCCAATTAGCCTTTTATTCGAAGTTCTTTGTCGAAGTCTTTTTCGACTGAATTATGTTGACTATTCTTGTATGTGGCTTATGTTCTTTCGTCTTTTTTTTAATTGAATATAACAGTTATCCGGAAGTCCCCTAGAGACTCGAGGATCTCAAATTAAAGAAACTTTTAAGTACAAACGAGTATACGATAAGTAATTAACCTACATAAGAACACATTAATTTCAAAGTAATTAGTTATAGAAATTCAGAAGTTTCATAACATCACAGCTTCTTTCAAAATATTTAAAGTTTAGTCTAATTAGGATGGATCTCATAATCTCTACTTACAAGCTATGAAATAATAAATAGACAAGGTAGGCAAATACTTAACTGAAGTCGAAGTAAAATTGGGTAAGAGCCACAATAATGCTAAGATCCAAGGATACATTCAACATAATTAAATATTCCGGAAGAGTCACGAAGGTAAAACTCCGACACTGATCATGACACTTGAAAGAACTTAAAGTTGGAAGCTCTTCACACTGTAATATATTATTATTATATTTGACCTATAAAGCCTCAAAAGTAAAAACAGTGAAGTGAGCGCTTTATCTGTTTTGCATTAATTTGGGTTGATAAAAACTTTCGAAAAAGCTCCAAATATTAATTAGCTTCTTTTCTAAAAATTTAGGTGTTGAGCTTAATATATCGAATTAGAGATTACGAGTTTCGCCCCATTACTTTCTTGTAGGAAAAATGCTTAAATTTCTGACATCACGAACGAAATAAAAAGATACCTTTGTTTACAGTCATTATAAAAATTTGACAGTTCATTTCGTTTATAACGAATGACTTCATCATCATTGAGTGTAATTGGTAGAATACAGAACTGATATTCAAGAGTTGACAGAATATATAAAGAACAGTGAATGAACAACTGTATAATGTCTCTTATCAGTTATATCTACATATTTATAAAGTCAAATCAGACCCCTTCTTTATACTCTGGGGAACGCAGATTATTGGCAAACGATAATGAACTGGAAGTAGAGAACAGTTATGTGGAACAAGAGTTCAGTTTAAACTACTCAGAGTAAACTGTTGCTTTCCTCAACAAACCAAAACCATTGGTATATTCGCAGGTAACTTATGAACCATTACATTCCCAGTAAATTCCTTAATGTGATCATGAGTTTTATCAAGCTACTGACAGTGTGATGTTATTAAATTCTAAGAGGGGTTTCGGGTTTTAAGCTGACTCCAAATCTCATTTCTTTACTTCGCCGAATGAAAAAAATACTCAGAGCCCTGGTTTGACCATCAGCGAATACTGCAGCAATCACAACCAACTGGTCCGTTGGTCTCCGAGTGACATACGATGACAAAGTTGAACACTGAAAGAACTGGCATGAAGTGATGTCGTCGTAACAGGAAACTACCGAGTTGAAAGTCTATGGCCGGTTGAATATCAGGTTCTGTTCCAATCACGTAGACTTGTCTTTCGTGCAAATATGAAGATATATCCTAGAATGAACTCATATTACTTACTTCTCGAAGGATTAGATATCTAAAGACATACCTTTGGTATTATTAAAAATTTACACTTCAGCCTGTGCAGAATAAAAAAGTACAGTTTACTATTGACTGTCTCTAATTATTAGTTCTCTTTATATATTTCTCGAGATCTACATATTCATTCACAGAATTTCTTTTAATAAATTACAAACTAAGAAAAAATTATACTATTCAACTATTTTGATTGCACTGTTAATAACAAAATTGGAGCAGCTAATTTTCATTACGACAGTATTCGTCATAAAGATTCAGAAGTGGGCTTTTCCCGAACAAATAACTGTTTCTTGATATAAGCTTTTGTCATACGCGCGTTACAGTCAGCGTCTCAGCCTCCGTTAACTTTATACCAACAACTCAGACACATGAGCGAGTTCCGCCGTCAGAATCGGGACCATTTTTATGAACTCATCCACTCTGCAGGCATACAAGTAACCGCTTTTCGAGCTCCCTTCCCGATTCTGCATCCATTTGAGCCAAGGCACTTGTTCACGCACATCCGTACAAATCACATATTCCTCGTGTATTTCGCGCATTGTAGCAAATGGGTCGTTAGTGCTCAGCAATACGATGCCAGCGCGTTCAGCTGCAGCCACAATGATACGAAAGTACAGAGCAGGTACCGGCAACAAACCGTTATTATTCTTATCGTAAGACAAGTAGTAAGGCTGACGCATATTGCCGCTGGCTGTTCTCAAATGCATTACGCCCACAGTGCCGGTATAGCAGATCACTGTTTGCTTCAATTTTTTGACAAAGGCGCGCACGCGCTCCTCCAGTGTGGCCCATTGTCCGCCATTGAACGATTGCCACTGAGGTGCGACATTGAAGAAAGTATATGTGGTACGCTGCTGTGTCGCATAGATCATATCGGCTTTGGCAGCCAGATGACCGCGTGATAGAAAGAGCGATTTCTTATCGAAACATGTTTGTGCATGCGCTTCGCTGCCTAATAACTGTGTGGCCTGTTGTTGTTGATTCCTTTGAGAGTATAAGTAATTCATATCGTATTGCGTGAAATGCTTAGCTTTCGAGAAGTTCAAACGCTTTACACCCGGCTGATAATATTGATTGGCCGGTTGGAGCGTGTAACGCACATAATGCGTGCGCAGTTCGTCGTCGTCGTGACAGACTTGCATGGTTTCAAGGAAATGTGTCCTCGTCAAATTGTAGCCGACGCGATACAGCTGAGCGCTATTATTCGCGCAAGTTTTCGCTGTGCGCTCGACAGTATATTTCACCCGCTGCGTACACAAAAATTGCCGAAATTCGTACTTTTCGCCGTTCAGCGTGAATGTGGTGCCTTGTAAGCAACGCGGGCGGATGACACGCTTCTTGCGTGATATACCCGCAGTATTTGTGGTGGCATTTGCGAAAGGTGCTGTGCAGATCAACTCTATGCTGCTGTCGTGTGGCACCTCAATGAAACCGCCTTCGTTTGGCAGCCAGTACTCCGTTGAGTTTGGACGAACATACAGCGGCTGCGGTAGGTTCGGTTTCGGCAAATCATATTGCGTATCTATGCTGCATGGCAGTGCTGAAAGCATAACACCGTAATTATGTAATTTAATTTTTATTAAAACATTATAAGAGTTAAATACATATGTATAAGCAAAAGTAAGTTCAATCATTCCTCAGGCAGTATCTACCTTACCTCCGAGGTAAAATACATGGCAAGCCGAAGTAAGTATTGCACGTGTATTCACATAAATCCCTTACTTAATCTCGTTGTCCCAGAACAGTCCTCTTGAGAACACCGTTTTGTTGTCGCAGCGAGTAGCCGTCCAGAGCTTTGGTTGGTTAGTTGGATGGTAACGTCAGATGAAAGCATAACGCCCCATTTGCGCTATCATTAGACTTATTGTGATCCCAAGAACAATTCAATTAAGTTTCAATCATTTAGCAAATTTCAAAGTTTTTTCTCCAATAGCTGCCCAATTTCGTTTCAATTTAAATATTGGAAGCAGTGAAAAATATCTTGTTTCAACCGGTAGAAAACTGAACATTCGTAGCAGTAATGTTCACCCTCCACGCGGGCTCTGCATTCTCCTCCGTTTCCTCTTTCACGCTTCTGCAGCTGAGATCGGAGGTGAAAGTGTTCTGAGCTTACCGCTATCAAGTTACTTAATTCCCTCTTTCCTAAGAGAAGAAGCCTTTTGTGATCTTTCCACCTTTAATCGTTCACCAAAATAGTTTTGCGGTTCACTGTGTGTGTCAAGAGCTTAAAGCTTAGAGTCGTGAGTTTGTTACGGCCTATAATTTCTTATCTCTAACAGAATCGCCAGTACTTTTAGGGCAGTAATGGCTATAGCAAGTGTGTATTTATGACACTGACATCAGTACAGACCCACATTTTACTGTTCTAACACAGCTCGTAAGCCCATAGCTCAAACGATTTCCGCTCTCTATGTATTGTCTTCTTCTAGAACGTGTTCAATTATTTTTGTTGCATTGCAGAAATCTTTAATAATTAGCAAAACCACTTTTGCTAATGCATATGTTCATTGCGAATTATATTTGCATTCGCTTTTGCAAATAGCCAGACACGTTTTCTTACGATTTTAATTGAATACTTCGCTCACCGTATATAAGCTTACGTATCGGTCATTATTTGCATTTCTTATGCTGTTAGGGCCAGAAGCGAAAGTCATGTAAACAATCGTAAATTGTGCTTTCACATTCAACTAAACACCTACTAATTTATCATTGCATGGACACATTAGGGTGTACTATAAATAAAATATATGAACAACTTGTTTTGGACTAAGCAAACCTAGTTGCTCAAGATTGCTGGATGATATCCCATGAATTGACGATCATGGTTGAAAACGATTATTTTTCAAAAGTGTCTCAAAAGCTAACATCAAGTCAAGTACCAACTTTCTAAATGTTTTATTGTGCGACACCCAAAACGAATACTAATTTACTAACACTGTACCTCAGTTGACCTCGAAAAGCGATCTATAGGTTTTGAAACTCCAATGTAAATTGTTTCACCTTTTATTGAAGCGGCACCCAAATGTTATTTAAACACTTTCTTTATCACTGATAAGCTATAAGCCTTACCGTTGTGTGTCGGCGTATTCTCCGACGCCGCATCATCGGTCTCAACACGCTTCAATACAGCACCAACGTCATCAGGTGGTTTCACCGCTTTGCGACCAAACACACAAACGAAAACACTGCACAAAATACAAATATTTAAGGTTGAGCAGATCAGCTGTTTTGTTGCCGTTGTTGGCCTTTTCATCGTTATTGTGGTGCCTACGCACATCTTTATTTACATTATGTACGTGTATACACAACTAGCACCATGGGTCACGAGCTAGCTACCGCTCTTTTGTTGCCTGTAGCCGCGAGCGAACTGAGCTGTTTAGGCCAGCTGTTGTCGCTGTTATACACTTCAAACCTTAAACACAGCAAGATCAAAAATGCTCGCGGGCCAGGTATGAAGTCTAGAGCGATCACTAATCGGTGGAGAATTTTGATATATTTTCTCAATTCTGTGGTCTTACATTTTCATTAAAAGAATGAACTTAACCTGCTTTTCTTTTAAAGAATTATGGGTTTCTAGCGTGTTACCATACTCTGTTTAATACCAACTAGGAAAGTGTTATTTGATTAAAAATAGTTCCCTAGTATTGTAGCAGAAATCTTTATATGGTGAAATGCTTTCGGTGTTTGGAGCAGACGCAGATGTCTTATTTAGTTCCCGGCAAACCGTTACTTCAATAAGTTTTGTAATATTTATATGAACTTCACCGTTGCGCTCATCCTCAAAGCCTTATTTATAATGCCAGTTCCACTTAAAGTCCAGTATTATAAAGTCGATCTTATGAAATTGAAAATCGAATGCAATTGAATCTATAAAACACTAATATATTCGGAACATGTTTTATTTGAAAAATGCCTAATTATTCTAATCAACAAATAACTTTGTAGCTGCGTGTAGAGGTCTGCCGCTTTAACTCTGACTACAGCTTTGTTTTAAGCCATGTTCATGTTAAACTTGAGTTAAAAGCTAAAAAAAGCTCGCATGCGCTTTTTATAGTACAACTCATAGCTTATAAAAATTAAAGCAATATCAAAGCTTAATCAAAACCGTTTCAACTAAAAGCTTGATTTGAAGCGACAAAAGCTTTCGTGTGCATATTATCTAAACAGTTGATCTTCGTAGATACCATTGAAAGAACATAAAACCAAACTATTTATATTTAAACGCAGCTTTATGCTATAGTAGTCCGATATCGGCAGTTCCGACATGTGAGCAATTTCATGCGGAGAAAAAGATGTGTGCAAAATTATAAATAGATATGTCATGTTACAAAACGTCTTTGAATCCTCAATAATTTAATATTCTACATCAATATGGCAACATCGACATATATTCTAGAAAGTTCAGAATTGGTGCATAGCAGCATAAACAGTGTGTTATCCAGTTGGAATGCAAGTCACACACACACAGTCAAAAACGGCACACAGATAAGCCTGCTGTTATCGAAACAAACGATATTTTACTGTGCACCGGGCCTTTCGATGGAAAATCTCTATAAAAATGTGTTTATTTAAGATTGCAAAGCATTTTATCATGTATCATGTTTTAGCGCTGTTTATGCGGTCGGTTTTTGCGCTGCGTAGGACGCGTTTTTTTGCACATTATAGTATATAAAATTTTGCGCTATGCGTGACACTATGCAATTTTGGTTTGGCACTTGTGGTTTATATGAAAATTTTGCACTGTGCGAGACGCATTCAATGTTCTAATGATAACAAGCAAAATTCGTTTTAACCGATGAGCAACGTAGGTAAAAGAATGAACGCAATCGATTATATCGTTTAATAAAAAAAGATTTAAAAAACAGAAAAAATCTCGATGGTATAAAAACAAAACAAACACAATGAATTGACCGTTGACTAACGAAAATGCCAAAATGAGCGCGACCGCTTGTATTGTTTGCGTAAAAAGATCAAAAAAGTGGAGGCTGAAAAGGAGCAATTAGAAACTTCTACTTCGACAAATAACGAATTTGTTGTTTTAGCTTCAATTGAAAATGTTGATAGCAAATTCACAAATTTAGACATAGAATTTAAAAAACGGTTCTACGACAATTCCTACGGTTTCGTATGTGCGGCTTGCGACCGTCTGTGGTTCCAAAATGGCATTACAAAAATTAACTTACACAAAATTGACAAAAAATTATTACAAGATGAATTTTTGAATTGAATTTCATGGGTTACGGCGTCAAAGCTTCGATCTTCGTAGTGGTAAAAGATCAAAAATTATACGATGTATCCGACCCGTAATTTTAGCCGGTAATTTCAATATCAACTTAAATTCGCCAGTTGGTTCGGAATTTCAAGATTTTTTATCAACAAATCGGCGGAGCTTACGACGATGAATCAAACTTGCTTCGACGGCGTGTTCACGCGTCGATTGGACAAATTGACGACGCGAAGATTCGTCTCGTACTCTCGCATCACAGGCCCTTGATAAGCGTCGATATTGCTAGTCGCGAGTCGCCGCCAACGTTGGAGAAATTGATAATTTACAATAATAAGTTTAGATACTTTTATTTTGTTGTATAATTAATTGATTGTTTAAAATAAAAAAGTGTAAAAAAACTTACAATTGTAAATTACAATCACTTTTTTTTGTTTTATTTAATTTCATAATAATAAATAAAATAACATTGAATATTAAATATTTTTTTATTGTTTATTCTTTTTTAACACAATTTAACAATCTTCATCTTCATCTCATAGAAGGACAATAAAAAATTAACCATATTTTTATAATTATACTTAAACTTGCTACCACAAGTTTGCAATTTACTTGCATACAACTCAAAACACGATACATAATTTTAATTTTTGGTTGTTAAACAGAAATAATGTGGCATTTTTGAAACTTTCTGTCTATAATGAAGCAAGCAGGTATATGTGTATCAATAAAATGATATTGTACTTAGGTTATAGATTCTGTCCGTGCAGAGCTTTTTCATTTGTTCGAAAACAAAAATCAAACAAAAGGACGGAATTTAATATAGGGTAGATGACGCCATTTTCAAACTGAGGGCCGCATATTATTGCATTAAGGATAAGGCAAGTCCCCAAATTTGAGACCGATTTTTTGACATTGATTTATGTATTGTAATTAATGTAAATTAACATTTTGTGGGCGCGGCTATTTTCGAATTTGTAAAACTAAAACACAAACCTCCTCAGGTCAAAGAACGCATCCACTTTTATAAAGAAATCGCCCACTTTTCTGAAGACCTGACGGGCGTATACTTAGCTTTCATGCTTAATAGGCACAATTTTTAAGTCGAATTTTATTTATTTATTTTTGAAAATTCTCAAGCTTTTTTGAGATAGAATAAAATATTGGGATGCGCAACTTGAATAAAAAGTGCCAATTGCCTGTGCCTAGACGAATGTAAAGTATCTGATTAAGAAAGAACGTGCGTTCGCGAGTGGGATTTTATTACAATATAATTCCTTATTTATGTATATATATATAATATTATAATTTAGTATATAGGTATAAAATTTCGTTAATTCATTGTAATATATTATTGTAATACATAATGCGTTTTGTAATAAGTATAATAAAGGTAAGTATTTTATATAGCATAAAACATTTATAATTTATTGCAATATTATTAAATTAATATTTATTTTTTCAATTTGTTTTTACATATATTTTATTTTAGTTTCGAAAAGTCGCTTGATTTAATGCCGGTCTTAGATCGGCAATTCCTCCAAGCCTAAAATTCCGGTTGTCTCTAACATATCCAGCGGCAAATCTTTCACAATTGCAACGAAATTGGGCACTGAACAGGCATAACAGTAACCCTTCTCGATATTTTTCCGCTCCCAGTTAATCCAATTAATATTGTGCGATACATCCTCTGCAATCACATACCCTCCGTTTTCTACTTCTTCAATTGTCAGATAAGGGTTATTTACACCAACGAGCGCGATACCTCTGCGAGTTGATTCATCTATAACGATTCTGAAAAAAAATTTCGGCACTGGTACTTTACGAGTATCATTCTGCTCATCGTATTTTAAATAAATCTCCTGTTGCACATTGTTAACGTCTGGCAATGTGCATATACACCAGGTCCCGGTGCAACAGAGTAGAGTAGTATTGTGATCATGAGCAAATTTGCGCACTCCATCCTCTATACACGACCAGTTACCGTTATTAAATGACTGCCATTGTGGCGCCATATTCACATAATGGTACGTGCCCTTTTGTTGGCCACTGAACACGCAGTCCGCCTTGGCCACCACGTGTCCACGGGACAAGTAATTTTTATCTGTTATGTAAGTAGAAGCAACCCTACCAACTATACGAGTGAGTGTCTTAATTTGTCGCTTCCTTTCAAAAAACATATCAACGTTTTTGTCATCAAAGAAATCACCCGAACTGGTATTTTTACTCTTCACGCCGTGTTTGAAATTCATGCTTGCAGGATCAATTGTATGTATGGCGTATGGAGTTGTTTGGCGAAGTCTGTCAAAACACGTACGCATTGTTGGTAATAAGGAGTCGCCAAATTTGATGCCGAAATCCAGCCATTCGGTGCCTCCCTTGCAGGGACTTCCCGTTCGCATGGGTGTGGGCATTGACATGGTGGTGCAGTTGATATGTTCGAAGTTGACTATTTCACCGTTTATGCGAAAATCTTTACCACCAGCACATTGCGCATCAAGTGTCTGCCCGGTGTACGGTTTTGAAAAAGCATCACCACAGCGCATTTTCACCCACTCGCCATGGGGCACCACAATTTCACCACTCGAATTGGGCCTCAAGTACGCAAGTTTATTGTGTGGCGTAAGAATTGGCGAATTGTTGGTCAAGTCGCCATTGACTTTAATCCCACAAGGTGTACACGGTATTTCATCATATTTGTCTAAATTCTCTTTTATCGTTTCATATTGTATCGGTTCATTTGTATTATAGTTAATTTGTCCATTTTTTTGATTTTCTTTAAAGTTTGCTACAGCCGGCTTAAGCCCGATATATAAAATCCAAGCATATATCACGACTACTATAACTACAAGTAGTATGAATATGAAAGATTCACGCATTTTTCATTAATTTTGATTACTATTCTTATTTGTATTAATTTCACAATCACTCTCTTAACATTCGGTGGTTCACCGCCTTTAAAATAACTTGTAAAGCGTTCTCCTTTATATAGCTTTTTGTTTGCCGCCCATGATCGCAGATTACTCAGAGTGTGTACTATACTCATATTCTCTTATAATATTTGCAACTGAAGACAAATTTGTTGGGCTCTTCAAGCACCTACACAAATTATACAACTTGTGGCTATTTACCCAGCAGCGTTGCCAGCTATTTCTATACAGATAAATATACATTTCTTTCTAGTACTTCGCTTCGTAAGATAATGGTTGATAAATAAAGTTAGGAAAATTTTAAAACTACATAAATTAAAAGAAAATGAAGAAAAGAAGCTTAAAGTCCAATGCATTTAACACGATAATTCTTGTTTAAACAGAATTTCTTTAATTTTATAGTACAACTTAAACTTTTGCAAAGCAATTTTGCTGATATTAGCTTTAGGTATTTCGGGACTGGAAACTCAGACAAAACTATTGAGAAAATTCAAACTTTGCTTCGGTTGATGTCGTGTTGTGTCTTAACAATCCAAAAGTTAAATATTATACGTTAACGCTCCAGCGGATCCTAGAACAGTTTCTTTTTTAGTTATATATTTTTATTTAAACTTTGACAACTTCTAAAAACAATATATAATATATTTAGTATATGGGCATAAAGAAAAGAATATATAGAGATATATAGAGAGGCAGATATTAAGGCTGCTATAAATAATTCAAAAAGCACTTTGGTAACTGCCAAATTTAGCTCTTGAATAAATTTAGTATAATATTATTTATGGGTCTAATAATTCCAGCAGAAAATTTTAAACACAAGTTTTACTTTCAATCGACAAGTTCCGGCAGCACTGTAGAGGAGCGTAAGTTGCGATAACACGCAGCGTATCTGTGTGCCGTTCTTGGCTGTGTGAGTTTGAGCGGTTGCACTTCGAGAAGTTGACGCACACATCGGAATAGAGGAGAAAAACTTCGAGATACATATTTTAGTATTTGGCGGCAAATGCTCTGTTAAAAACTGAACTTTCTAGAATATATTCCGATGTTGCCATATAAATGTACAATCATACATTATTGAGGAATCAGGGAGGATACATCTTAATTCCGATACTTTTCTAAAGTCAAGTGTTCTGCTATTTAATTTGTTTAGTTGCACTGAACCATTTTTCTTTAAGTAATAGCTATATTTCAGTTTGAAGCAAATGTCAATTTAGGACCAGCATATTTCTCTGCAGCCTTAGTCTCTCCATAATATTTTTTTTAAAACGAACTTCTATTAATAAAACTGTATCTAAATTTGTATTCAGTATATCTGCGTTTTGATGTGAAAGTAGTTGCGAGCTAAGATGACGTTGTTTCTCAAAGCAACGGAATTTAATATTTTGGAAATATGAAGGAAAAATATACAATATATACTATATACCTATATATATTAGGTAAAGTAAAAAGTTCGTTCGGTTTTTTATAGATTTTTCAAAAGATGATAACTTTGTGTACATTTGTCCGATTTAAGTCAAATATACGCCGTTTTGTTCGTAAACTTGTTGCCAACGAGATGCCAACTTCATTATACCCCTCTCGTAGAAGGCTGCGTCCCTATTGCCAAAAAACTCGGAGAGCCAATTTTCACAGGCCTCTCTTGAGGCCAACTTCTCACCATTAAGCGCGTTCGCCATGGACAGGAAAAGATGATAATCACTTGGTGCCAGGTCCGGACTATAAGGTGGGTGCATTAGGACCTCCCATCCGAGCTCCCGGAGCTTCTGGCGAGTCACCAAAGACGTGTGTGACCTGGCGTTGTCCTGATGGAACACAATTCGGCCTCCGTTGATCAAAGATGACCTCTTCTGGATGAGTGCTGCCCTCAAGTGGTCCAGTTGTTAGCAGTAGAGGGCTGAATTGGGCGTTTAGCCATAGGGAAGCAGCTCGCAGTAGATGATTCCTGGCCCATCCCACAAAACACACAGCAAAACCTTCCTGGCCGTCAATCCGGTCTTGACCACCGTCTGGGCCGCTTCCCCGAGCTTTGACCACGACCGTTTGCGCTCGATGTTGTCGTAAGTAACCCATTTTTCATCGCCAGTTACAATCCACTTCAAAAACGGGTCGATTGTAATAAGTGACGGTCTGTTTCCACTATTTTCATGATTTTATCGCAATTTTCGACGATAGGCCTCCCGACGCGTGGTGCATCTTTGACATCGAAATTACCGGCACGGAACCTAGCAAATCCCTTTTGTGCTACACGTTCGTTTACAGTATCGGGCCCATAAACTAAATTAATGTTTTCAGCCGCTTTGGCTGCTTTTTCGCTTTGATCGAAGAAAAATTGTAAAATATAGCGAATTTTGTCTTTGTTGGTGTCCATCTTTGACGAGCGCTCACAACGAACTGAGTAAATCAATCGAAAAACTGTCAAAGACAAACTTTTAGTGCGAATAAACACGTTTTCAGCGCCGTATAGTATGACATGATGCGACACGTAACACTAGTACTATGGACAATAACGCCATCTCTTAGATAAAAACCGAACGAACTTTTTACTTTTTACGCTAAAATATAGTAGTCAGGGACCATTACCACTTAATTTCATCAAAATATCAGATAACTTGAAATAAATTTCTAAATTCGTTAATTTAGGTATATATTAGCTAGAGGAATTACTATACCGACTTTATACATTTTTGGCAAAACTTCTCATTTTTTTACAGGACAAAGATGCCTATTTAATTTCATATAGACATTTAACAAATATACCGATATTTTTGGTATAACGTCAGTCGTAGGCACTGAGGCCCTCATATTGTGTGGGCTTGAAAAGTTATGGTCTGATTGCGTCGATCTTTCAACTGCAATATAAAGATATCAATATAATCCATTGTCAAAAATTTAGTTCGAATTGCTCAAGCAGTTGATGATTTATAAGATTTCACCACGCCTCTTGTCCGCATTTAAAGTTTTTTCTTGCTTTTCTTAATTATATGCAATTACCGTTCACACCTAAACGCATTACTTTAATTACACATTCTCCAGTGTGACTTCTCTCGTATTATTTATTAGAGAAAATTACTAAAGTGGGCAGCACAAAAAATTTCTCCAAATTAACGCCAACACAAAAACGCCTTCTTTTAAGTATGGTGCATTTTGTATATGTGCTTGGTCATTAAATGCTCACATATGCCTGAATTCATATGGTGTGAACTATGCGAGTAAGACAATTATATTTAGGAATCCAGCGCACAATTTAGATATAGCTTTTTTTTAGAAACAAACCTTAAATAGTTTTGTAAGTAAATTTAAAGTCAGCTTCCTCAAAATGGGAATTGCGTAAAGTATTGATCTTCTCTCTCTTTTCTGGTGTGGAATATTCATTTACATATAATTTTTCGATGTAAAATCGTAGAAGAAGCAGTCCACGCTTAGAAAATAAATACCAGTCGAAACGGGTTAAAATTATATTATAACACATCTTTTTTTTCTAAAATCCGGATTTACCAAAAATGCTCTCATCCTGTCTTGGTTTTGTTTCTACTTCGATTTTTTAGAAATCTAACTGACAAATGGGGAATACCACATATGAGTAATTCAAGCCGCCTCCGAGTGGCAGTTGGATTTCAGTAAACCCTTACGGCACCTGATGAAAAATTAGATTGTGCAATCGCTGATACCGATGGAAAATTAAATTCGCTTTGAGCATGAATTTAGTTGCTTCAGTAATCGCCTACAGTGTGAGAACCGATATTGGCAAGACTATAACTTAAAATATCTAAGTCCATGTACTGAATTTTGGTTACAAAATTCTCCGAATCTCTATGTGCTATTTGGGAATTATGGAAGCAACCGCTGAACATTTAAAATCAAAATTGTGAGGCATTTGAGCCGTCCATTCTTTGAAACTGAATAACAGGCTCTTGCCGATGTCAAGTAGGTTCTTATGAGTGCGCATAATACAGCAGCAGGGACTAAAAGGGCAGTCTCTAGATTTTTTTACTCAAAAATTGTTTGCTGATGGTTGGCAACAAGTCTCACTATTGAGAAGGCAGGGTCTGCCTCCGCTACTGTGAGCTTATCTCTCCATGCTACAGCGGTCAGGTTTTCGTTTGCTTTTACATATCAGATATGTATATATGTATGTTGGCTTAATTCTTTGCTTTGACTGATGCTTCGCCTTATTATTCTTCGTTGTTTTCTATTTGGTATATTTGTTTGCTGTTATTTTAACCTTTTAACTAATTAACTTCCGGCACGCCCACTAAAAACCAATGCAACAAGAAGGAGACAGCAAGACGTCGTACTCACTTTTATTGTTGTTGTTGTTATAATATTATAAATGCAACCAGTTTTTGTTGTCTTTTTCAACGCTATGCCGGGTTGTTGACATTTTTATTCAATCAGGCGCAAAGTGTTTGGTCTCGCGAGTTATTTCAGTTATATGTTTGTATACTTGTATATGGTATGTATGTATATGTTTGTATGTAAGTGTTCGGCAGCAAAAAGGTTTTTGCTCAAATGCTCGCAGTTAACATAACAGCATACTAAATTGTACTATTCTTGGCTTAACAATTTTAAATGCAATGCTAAGGAGACACGATTACAGTGGCGGACATAAAAATGTTCACAGCAAAAAAATATAGTATAGTTTTTAAATTTTTGTTTCTGCCCACAGTTACTTGCTGAGAAGTGTACTGAGTGTTAAAATAGTTGCATTTAGTCCTGAACCATTTTATACTTCATCGTAATAAATAATAATGTACACTTAAAATTTAGATTTGTTAGATAATAGTTGATTTACAACCTCCAAAATTATAGTGGCTTCGGAGGATTCGAAGATGTTAAATTACTTTCGGCGAGACCAAAATGAATATTTAGGTAATATTTACATTATTCCCGGTTCCCTGATACAAAATTCATACAAGTATATATCTTCTAAAAGCGATGCGTTTGCATAACGGGTACATATAAAAGTTTTGCATAATTCCATATTTTCCAATGTAATACGTAGGTTACCTTTTATATTTCGGAAACTGCCAACTCTAGTGCTGCAATCTGGCAACTCACAACTTTATCGTAAAGTCTGACATTTTTGATGGTTTACATACTCAGAACGTTTTGACATACGAGCGCTATTTGTGTTGCGTTCAGAACGCATGTTTTGAATATACCTCAATCAGAGTGGCAAAAGGGCTTCGACAATTGGTTCACACGTATGGAAAAGTGTATAGATCT